CATGTTTCACAAAGAGCAAATGCATCACAAAGTGAGTTGTGAACTAAAAATTTGAATGTGTCAAGTTTCGGTATAAGACTTCTACAGTTCCACTGAAGAACAGAGATCATATCCCCGACCTCATTCGGAAAATTATCCATCAAAGGATATGATCGATGCAAGGAAGGACCACCTAGAAGCTAGTTGCTTCAAAAGAGTTTTCACGAATGGAAGCACTAAATTAATAATGTTCCGAGTTGAGTCAGAGACGTTGAATATATTGAAGATGCTCTCCACAATTTCAGAAAACGTGAACATGGCATCATGTTCTTGCTGATTATTCAGCTGTTTTTCTGGCTGAAAAACTGGGATATCTGGGGTTTTAGATGATCCCGGAAGTGGCGGAAAGTCCTTGTTAAAATTACAAGATTTAAATCCCGGTGGTGGGGGTTTCGGTACATTTCCGCTACCTCTTAAATTTGTCAAGGTAGGTTGGTAGTCCATACGAGAGGCCTTACGAGGTTTTTGGGTGACGTTTATTTTGGACCGCTTCCTCGTGTTGCCATTAAAGACAAAAGGATTACTCTCACCCACCTCTGAGTCAGAGCCCTGATCATCATCTGGCAGGAGGTGGAATGTGTTGTTGCTTTTTGGGGTGGTTTGGGAAGATGAAGCGGTCGTTTTTAAAATTTCTGCTAACGAGCGCTTAGAGCGAGCTTGCAAAGACCGCTTTAGTTTTTCTCCCTGCTGTTTGTACTTCGGGCAATCACTCAGAGCATGCGGAGCATCCTTACAGTAAACGCATTTTGGGGTAGCATGACAAGGACCCTCCGTATGCTCCTCCCCACATTGATCGCACCGCGGTTTGTTGGAACAAAAGTCCGCGGTGTGACCTAGTTGTTTGCATTTCAAGCAATTCATTACCCTCGGTACAAACAAGCGTACAGGTAGTCGAACCTTCCCAATTGTGACGTAGTCAGGTAATGCCGATCCTGAAAAGGTCACACGAAACGAATCTGAGAGGGTATACTTTTTTTTTGTGCCTATGTGCGACACTGACTGCAGTTGAATGCAGTCCAGTATCTTGACTTTCGGGAGGGCACGGTTTTTGAAAATGCCGAAAGATTCGACTTGCAGGAAATCCTCACAAGTCAGACTCGATTCGGTGACCACTCCTTCAATTTCTACGTCACAACTGGGGACGTAGACTCGATATTCGATCGAAAAAAGCTCACAGGCAACAATCCGGTTTGCCTGTTTCAGGTCATCAACGGTAACGCGCAGTTTGTTTGACGTTACCTTAAAGATATCGGTTACGGCCGAAAAATGTTTTGTCAGATCCTTCGAAATCCGAGAAATATTCAAAGGTTTTTGTTTGGGCCGGAAAAAAACAACCCACGGACCTTTTGAGTCGCTTGGGTAAGCTTTATGGCGGGGGGTCGCAGAAATTTTTAAGGGAACGGTTGGAGTAGGGGGAACAGGTGGACGAGGGGGCGATGGTGGAGAAGGGGGGGCAGGGGGTGAAGGAGGTTGTTGTTTAGACATCACCTTTGGGTAAGCTCCAGTGCTCGTTTTGGGGTCCGAAGTAGAATCCCCTGAGGTATCCATTTCCTCTTCAGTGAGAAGCAGATTTTCGAATGATGGAGATTTAACAGACTCATCATCGGAGATATCTGCTAGCGAAATACCCCCGCCATCATTGGTTTCATCCATTGCGGGGTCTTAAGTACCTCCGCAACAGATTTCGACATAAAAAAGGAAATATATATATATATATATATATATATATATATATATATATATATATATATATATATATGCGTTGAGAAAAAAAAATAAATAAAAAAAAAAAAATAAGAAAAAAATAAACTTATCCAAAAAATATAACGGTAAAAATAATACTTAATCCAACAAAGCAAAAAAAAAAAAAAACTTTAAAATGGAAAAAAATAATGCCAGGAAAGTTAATCAACACTATAGGGAGATTAATCAACTTGCAAAAAAAAAAACAGTAAATGAAAAAAAAAGAGAAAAAAAAAAAAATGAAAATTTTTTCAGGAAAAAACAGTGTCAGAAAAGTTAATCAACACTGTATGGAGATTAATCAGGTTGCGGAGAACGGAAGATAACCGTTTGTTACTTAACTCTCCACACAAGCGCACGGAGTGTGGCTGATGACGATGATCTATCCTGATGTGAGAATGATGGTGATGATCGTTCTATTGTTGCCCTCGAGTGTTTGCAACAAAGCACCGGCTGGCTCGCCGGCTGGTGAACTCGATGACCTTGAGTTTGCCGTTTCGTGATGCGATGAAACTTGTTGGTTAGAGATGTACAGCTCATCTGCCGGACTCGGCCGGAAATGACTGCTTCCTTTCTCGAACGATTGAGCGGCAATTACAATTCCGCGATGCTCACTGCACTGTTGTATACTACAACACCACTCAGTATGAAAGCGGATTGAAAAAAAACCTCAATAGGGGAAAAAAAACTAGTACCGATTACGGAGTGCAAGCAATACTTGACCGAAACAGTCGAGCGTTCGATGTGGAATGTTTCGGGAAGATGGGGGTACACTTTATGAAAACCGACAGATGAAATTATGAAAGATTTTGAACGTTAATAACTTAGCTGCCCCTGGACCAATTTCAAAAAATTTATCACCAATCGATCAGAAACATTTTTCTACGCATCGAAAATAATGCTTTTGACTGTTGGTTTTCAAAGTGAAACTATTGAAAAAGTGGTAAATTTCAAGGATCGTCCAAAATCTTCAAAGTAACTAACAAATCCACCAATTACGTACATGCATATTAGACCTGTTCATTTTAATTGAAATGTTCGGAATGTAACGGGTCAACCGTGATTACTGTTCGTCATGTTAATTTGAACTTTTGTGCAAATTTTCAGCAAAATCGGTGTTGATTTAGAGGTGCTTCAAGTTAATTTTATGTTTTTAAGGTAATTTACGGCTTACAATATTTGTATCTCGAGACTGAAATAACGAAAACTGCTGTAACAACTTTCATAGCAAAGTTTAATGTGTCATGTATCAACTTTGTGACCAAAGGTTGACTATTAGAAGTGATTTTATTGAAGTTTGACTTAGTTTCATGCTCGAAGATATCTTAAAAAGTGAAGAATTTTAAAGTATTTGTTCTACGAATTTTCCACCCGTATGATATAAAAATGTGTAGTGTACGGCATAATGTTCCTCATATTGTTCTAGAAGTTTCGTTCAAACATAGTTTTCGTGTATATTTCATAGATTGAGAAATAAAAATCAGAAAAGAGGCCGTTTAGCTAAAATTCACAAGACAACAGAGCCAATAAAAGTCAATTAGATTGACAGAACATAGTTGCATTGCTTTTCAATGACGACCGATGACTGTTTCATTGATATATGATTTTTCCATAACTATGAATCCTCAGTAGACGTGTTTTTTATCAAAGGCAAGTGTCACTCGAGCCATTCAAAATATTCGTTATTTTATAAATTGCTGTTATGGTTCGAGTGACACTTGCCTTTGATAAAAAACACGTCTACTGAGGATTCATATTTATGAAAAAATCATATATCAATGAAACAGTCATCGGTCGTCATTGAAAAGCAATGCAACTTTGTTCTGTCAATCTAATTGACTTTTATTGGTTCTGTTGTCTTGTGAATTCTAGCTAAAACGGCCTCTTTTCTGATTTTTATCTCTCAATCTATGAAATAAACACGAAAACTATGTTGCAATGAAACTTCTAGAACAATATGAGGAACATTATGCCGTACACTACACATTTTTATATCATACGGGTGGAAAATTCGTAGAACAAATACTTTAAAATTCTTCACTTTTTAAGATATCTTCGAGCATGAAACTAAGTCAAACTTCAATAAAATCACTTCTAATAGTCAACCTTTGGTCACAAAGTTGATACATGACACATTAAACTTTGCTATGAAAGTTGTTACAGCAGTTTTCGTTATTTCAGTCTCGAGATACAAATATTGTAAGCCGTAAATTACCTTAAAAACATAAAATTAACTTGAAGCACCTCTAAATCAACACCGATTTTGCTGAAAATTTGCACAAAAGTTCAAATTTACATGACGAACAGTAATCACGGTTGACCCGTTACATTCCGAACATTTCGTTTAAAATGAACAGGTCTAATGCATATGCTGCTTCCCCAACACAGTCATCAGAGAATGGTTCCTAGATGAAACAAGCCGAAGTGACGAAGGGCGTGTACGAATAGGGAGGATGCACTTGCGGAACATTTTGCTGCTCTCCAGAGTTGTAATCCTGTAACCAAACTTGGAAGCAGGGGATACTCTATATAAATTCTATTCTAACTCTTTTCTGAAATAACTTCTAACTTTTCAGGGCCACCAATGTTACGTTGGTGATAAGTTTTAACCTCCGAAACCATACAGAGTGCGGCCCTGTCGCTTCAGAGCGTAGACGACATCCATGGCCGTGGCGGTTTTGCGCTTGGCGTGTTCAGTACAGGTGACGGCATCACGGATCATAATTTCTAGGAACACCTTCAGCACACCTCGGGTTTCCCCGTAGATCAGACCGGAGATGCGCTTGACGCCACCACGTCGAGCCAGACGACGGATGGCAGGCCCTGGATGTTATCAGGCAGAATTTCCCAATATCGACAAAACTGCATCATCATGACTGTATGTAGCCAATGGGAAGCGAGATAATATGATACCGGCAGTGCTGGTTTTCTATATAACAGGTTCCTAACTACGCTTTTGGCTTCATTTCTTCTTTCCTTTATTTAACGTCGGTCTCTGTTCCGCAATCTAGTGCCAATCACCGACGGACATCGATTGCCATCCATTGACGGCAATCGAATGTGCAGGAAGGCAGCTTCCACACCTGCGTAGGATATCGCACCCATTCATCAACACACATGGGGCGGGACCAACAGCTTTACTTCCCTTCCGAAGGAAGACGTGACCAGAGATTGGCTTCATTTCGATTCACCCGTTCAACGACAAACATCAAGCAACAATGACTGGTCGTGGCAAGGGATTCAAAGCTCTTGGAAAAGAAGGCGCCAAGCGTCATCGGAAGGTTCTGCGTGTTAACATCCAAGGTCATTCGTCGTCTGGCTCGACATGGTGGGGTCAAGCGTATTTCCGGTTATATCTACGAAGAAACCTGAGGTGTACTGAAGGTGTCCCTAGAAAAATCCGTGATGCCGTCACCTACACTGAACACGCCAAGCGCAAAACCATCACGACCATGGATGTTGTTGTCTACGCCCCGTCGGTAACTAGAGCGTCGGTGCCCCCACTCGACGCTGCATCACTGCGTGCCACACCTGGCGCTGGCGAAGGGATTGGCTGCGATACCAAGGATAGACAACAAACCAATCAGACAAAAGAAGATACTAGTTACATGCTATAGTGAAGGTAGTCTATTATTAAAATTTAAATTCGTCCTATAATCTAGTGCTAAAACCTATGTTAATCTATCAAGTGCTTGACCGTAAATACTAAATTTAACATAAGGTTACAACTGCGGCTAGAAACTAAGGAGAAATAAGTGCTATACTATAAATACTACAAACTACTGCTAGATCTACACAAGTGAACGCTAAAGCTGCGCATAGCTAGGGATGCTCAAGACGCATTCGGAGTATTATGTGGAAGAGAAGTTGAATTGCTAAAAGTAGGTCCCTCTAGGAATTTATAACCTACCTATTACTCGGTATTAAACGTTAATGAATTCGGCTAATTCAGGCGACATCCGCAACTATTCTTCCAACATTTTATAAATTCTTTTATAATGTCGAAGAAGTCGTCCAGCCCTGGAGGCAGCGCCCTTGGAATGCCAACACCAGGGATGGTAGGAGAAACTGGAGAAGATTTTGGGCAGGCAGGTCCACCCGTTGTCATCGTTTCTCCTCCTAGTACCGAAGGCCAGGTAAATTCTGACGTTTCCAATAATAAAAATCCCCATTTAACTGGGTCAACGGTATCTAACGCTGTCAATGTCGGCAATACCGCCATCGGTACCGCGATCGGAGTCAGGCGCAATCCAATCCGCGGCGCTCGAAGAAACCGGGATTACCAGTGTCAGTTGTGTGAAGAGCGTGATAACGTGATGGTTGCGTTCGGTGGTTCCACTTCATCTGTGTGGAAGTTTCGGAGGAAATTACCAATGTCAGTTGGGTCTGTCCGAACTGTAAGGTCCCACGCATTCCCCCCACTAGTTTCGCCAATACAACGACCGCACAACAGCAAGTAAGTCCACCCCCGAAGAAAACTACATCGCTACGGTCAAAGAGCAAGGTCAGCTCCAACACCAGTGGATCGAGAAGGATGGAGGAACTCGAGTTGAAGAAACTCGAGGAGGAGTTCGAGTTGGAAAGGCGGTTCCTCGAACGGAAGTACCAACTAATGAAGGCTTATGGAAGCGAGACATCTACGGAGGCTGATGACGTCGAAGACAAGATCGAGCAATGGTTAGTCGAAACCGAACTCCACGGTGAAGATTCCGGATTAGCAGTAGAGGAGGCAGATGGGCAAACACCGAACACATCGGAGAGACCTAAGGAGCACCGAGCTCCGGATGTCGTCCAGCGACAGCGAAATCCACCAATTCTTCGCAATGTTCAGCTCGGTCAGCCCCATCAGAGATGTCTGTCACAGTCTGTACGACACACGAAGCAGCCGTTCATGCAACCGTTGGATCTAGGTGCTCAGTGCAACCGCTTCTGGCAAAGCTCCCATCACCCTAATATTGGACAACCGCAATCCAATGTCGAATGAACGTCGTGCTTCACATCCCCTGGATGGAACAGTGTTCATGCCAGGAACGATACCGGATATGTGCCATCGCCAGCGTCGTCAAGGGATTCGGGAACCAGCAGCTGGTGCGAGATCTTCCTACGTTCCGGAATTAAATCTAAGCACACGAAGTGACGACCAGCGCCATGACACGCAGATGTGTGGATTCACAAATGAGGAGAACATGCTGAGACTACGCAAGTGTTTGAAAGGGAAGGCGCTGGAGGCAGTGAGGTGCGAGTTACTTTTTCCTTCAAACGTAGCAGACGTATTGGGAACGCTAAAGATGCTCTACGGGCGTCCAGAAGCGATAGTACAGTCGATCGTCAAGAAGACAAGGAACCTGCCTCCACCAAACACGGAAAAGCTTGAGACAGTGATGAATTTTGCGTTAACGGTGAAGAATATGGTCGCAACAATCAGAGCATGTGAGGTCGACGACTTTACCTTCAACGCATTTCTCCGATACGAGCTAGTAGAGCGGCTTCCGTCATCTTTAAAGCTAGACTGGGCGAGGTATGCTCGTAACAACCCGAACCCGAATCTCGCAACGTTCAGTGCTTGGTTGTATGCAGTAGCGGAAGATGCATGTGCTGTTATGGTGGATACAGGACGCGATCAACAAAGGCGGAGTACCAAGAAGGATGGGTTCCTGAACTTCCACTCCGAGCCAGAAACGAGTGCCGCAAAACCAATCGAAACGTATAGCAAGCCAAAGCCGTCCATTCCGAAGGATCCGATCAAGGAGCAGTGCGCGGTGTGCAAAGGGAGCTGTCCGTCAGTTGCAAAATGTACCAGGTTCGAGGGATTGAGCTACGATTCGAAGTGGGCGACGGTGAAAGAGTGCAAGCTTTGTCGCAAGTGTCTGCGAAAGCATAACGGAACATGCAAGCAACAGAAAAAGTGCGGTACTAACGGATGTACATTCCTGCATCATCCTCTGCTCCACAATCTGGAAAAGTACCACGACCCTAAGTCATCAACGTCGCAATCATCTACGATCTTTCCGTCTGGACCGAAAGGACCGGAGCCGAGCTGCAACGTCCACCAAGGTCAGTCGGCAGTGTTATTCCGCATCGCTCCTGTCGTACACTATACGGTCCGGAAAAGGCAGTGCAGACCTACGTGTTCATCGACGATGCATCCGAGCTAACCCTGATGGAGCAAGACTTAGCTAATGAACTAGGCGTCGAAGAGCCGAGAAAATCTTTGTGCCTAAAATGGACCGGCGCAACCCGTAGGGTGGAAAACGAGTCGCCGCAAGTGAATCTGCAAATATCCGGTGTGCGAAGCTCGAAGAAGTACGACCTGTCGGGAGTGCACACCATGTCTTCCCTTCAAATTCGTCCTCAAACGCTGCTACTGACCGAGATGCAGAACAAATATCCGCACCTGGCTGGACTCGAAGCGTACGAAGACATGAATCCTCGAATCCTCATCGGTTTAAACAACGCCAAACTCGGACATGGAATCAAAAGCCGGGAGGGAAAGCAGAGTGAGCCAATCGCAGTGAAGTCTCGCTTAGACTGGATGGTGTACGGCAACTGTATCGGAAAGGAAGAGACTACCACAGTGTCCAAACCTGCGATTGCAATCGGGAGAATGATGATGATCTCCACAAAGCGATGAAATCATATTTCGCGCTTGACAGCCTCGGGGTTGTCAAACCAAACAAGCTACTACTCTCACATGAAGAACAGCGAGCTCGATCCCTGTTGGATTCTCAAACCCGCTTAGGAGATAACCGTTACGAATGTGGTCTTTTATGGAAGTACGAGAATGTCCGACTCCCGGACAGTAAAGCGATGGCCCTCCAGCGGTGGAAGTGTCTGGAAAATCGGATGATAAAGGATCCAGCCTTTGCGGACGGGCTGAAGACGAAGATGCAGGAACACATCAGCAAGGGCTATGTTAGGAAGCTGACAGCTGAAGCCAAGGTTCACGGCATTTCTCTCAACTCGGTCCTTCTAAAGGGTCCTGATGAGCTGACATCGCTTATGTCCGTATTAATTCGCTTCAGAGAGATCAGGGAGATGTTCCATCAGATTCTGATGCGGTATATGGATCAACACTGCCAACGATTCTTCTGGTTAGAGGAAAACGAAATAGAACCCAGCTTGTACGTCGTTCAGGTAATGACCTTCGGAGCCTGCTGTTCACCGAGCATCGCGCAACACGTCAAGAACACTAATGCAAAGCGTTTTGAACAGGACCACCCGGAAGCAGTCGACGCCATCATCAAACGACACTACGTCGATGACAAGCTGGTAAGCACGGAAACGGAACAGGAAGCTGTGAAACTGGCGCAAGAGGTGAAGGAAATTCATGAGCGTGGCGGATTCGAGATACGAAACTGGATTTCGAACTCCAAAAGGGTTCAGGAGAAAAATCTGAACATCGGTGAGGAAGCTACAATGGAGAAGGTGCTAGAGATGTGGTGGAACACGATGACAGATCGTTACACTTACAAATTATCATCCCGATACGAACAAGCATTGTTAACCGGAAGTCGTTGGCCAACAAAGCGAGAAGTTCTTCGAATGCTGATGATGGTCTACGATCCGTTGGGATTTATCTCACATCTACTGATGTTCCTGAAGGTGTTGCTGCAGGAGATTTGGAGGACAGAGATCGGCTGGGATGATCCGATTCAAGATACGCAGTTCGAAAAATGGTTGACATGGCTGGCAGTGTTTCCACAGATGAGTTCCGTCGAGGTTCCCGGATGCTACCGATCCTTGACATCCGTTGAAGCAGATTTTGAGATGCATACGTTCGTCGACGCCAATGAGAATGGGTTTGCAGCGGTCGTCTACCTTCGATTCAATGAAGGAGACACGATCGATGGTGCCGAAACCCGAGAGTGAACCGGGGACATGCTCCACCCATGTGTGGTGAAACCGGTGGAATAAATGTCCACTGGGTACGACTCGTAGTGAACTCACTGGCCAGTCTGTTTTGATCGAGTACGCTATCGGATGATCCTTCGCGCATTCTGGAGGGAGTGTTGTCTACGCCCCGTCGGTAACTAGAGCGTCGGTGCCCCCACTCGACGCTGCGATACCAAGGATAGACAACAAACCAATCAGACAAAAGAAGATACTAGTTACGTCCTATAATCTAGTGCTAGAACCTATGTTAATGTATCTAGTGCTTATACCTTGACCGTAAATACTAAATTCAACATAAGGTTACAACTACGGCTAGAAACTAAGGAGAAATTAGTGCTATACTATAAATACTACAAACTACTGCTAGATCTACACAAGTGAACGCTAAAGCTGCGCATAGCTAGGAATGCTCAAGATGCATTCGGAGTATTATGTGGAAGAGAAGTTGAATTGCTAAAAGTAGGTTGATTAGGGTAATTGATTTCACATATGTCTAATTTATTAATTAATCCCTCTAGGAATTTATAACCTCCCTATTACTCGGTAATAAATGTTAATGAATTCGGCTAATTCAGGCGACATCCGCAACTATTCTTCCAACAGATGTCGTCTACACTCTGAAGCGACAGGGACGCACTCTGTACGGTTTCGGGGGTTAAAACTTATCACCAACGTAACAAAACGGCCCTTTTTAGGGCCACCAAGTTCATTTAAGAAAAGAGTT